AATAAATTTTAAATGATTTGATAGTAAATTATAAAACCATAACATTACCACACACAGTGATGATTAAATACATACAAATGGCTGGATACAAACATGTAGTTACCTCATCTCATGGTAAAGGGTAACTTTCTAAAGGAAAAAGGGGCAGGAAGAGAAAATAAACCACAAAGAGTCGTCTAACTACATGAAATTGTTTAGCTTCAGTATATAAAAGATGCCTTAAAAATAGTGAGCAAAATTATTGGCAGTAGATAAACTGAAAAAAATATTAACAATATGTATTAACCCTTTGCTATATATATATATAATGAGAGAATCCTTATAAATCATTAAGAAAAAGAGAAAAACCTTCAATAAAAATTTTTAAATAGAGGATAAGAATAATTAACAAAAAGAAAAGTGTAAATGGCTACTTACCTCATACCTTACCCCACAATCAATTTCATATCTTATATTTAAATGTAAAATATATGAAAATACCAGAAGTAAATTTTTAAAAATATTTTTGTAATGCTGAAGTAGGAAGGCTCTTCTGACACAACATCCAGATATACTGAAGGGAAAATTTGACAGATTTTATCAAATAAAAATGAAACTATTCTTTGTGACAAAAAGCAAAAAATTTAAATAAGCAACAGACAGGAAAATTTATTTGCTGTATATGATGATAAAAAAGGTTCATATCAGAACGTCCCTGGTGGCCCAGTGGTTAAGAATCTGCCTTGCAATGCAGGCGACATGGGTTCAGTCTCTCGTCGGGAACGAGCACCTCTCATGCCATGCCAGCACAAAGGCCAGAGTGTAGCCTTTACTGACCCCACATACTTCAGAGTCCACACACCACAACCTGAGAGTCTGTGCACCACCACAAAGACCCCACACACTGTAACTAAGACCTTTTGCAGCCAATAAACAAATAAAAAGTTACTACCTTTGTTATTGGTAAAGGGCCTTAAAATCAATAAGAAAAAGACAACCCCCCCCATAAAAAATGGGTAAAAGGTTCACAGTGATAATTAAAGAAAATATAAATACACATTGCCAATAAGCACATGAAGTGAAAAGTCCTTAATCCCACTAGCAATTAAAGAAATGCAACCTTTAACATTTTTAGCTGTCAGATCAGTAACAGATTTTAAAAATGAAAGTATCTGATGTTAGTGAAAACATGGATGAACTTTTTCTGGGAGTATAAACTGATTTAAAATACATTTTTTCTGGAGGGCAATTTGAATTTTGCAATGTCTATCAAAAATCTTAAAGTAAATCTTCATATCCTTTGAACCAAATTATCATTACCGAACATTTACTCTCAGGAAGCAGAAGGGTTTGTTGGGTACAGCCGTGGTGAACGCTGGTTGTGCAGTTGAGCACCCCCTGCATTTATCCAGTTCCCAGGCACACAGCGTGGCCCTCCCTCTATATGTGTGAGCGAACCAGGTGTCTGCTCCCCAGTACTCTGTGTCTAGGATATAAACTTGTGACCTAGGCTTCACAACACAGCATACCCACTCCAGACTTTTACTCTGAGGCTAATAAAGTAAGAAGCAAAGACATCCCACACTCTCTTCCTTTGACAATTGCAGGCAGCTGCATCTGTTGTCCAAGGTCATAGTGTGAGTTCAAGCTGTGACATATGGTGCCCAGAGTTTTTTTGTTTTGTTTTGTTTTGTTTTAGCAGACCAGGTTCATGGTATGTGATTTGGATATTGGTCCATGCAGTATAACTTTGATAAAGGTGTTTTCTAAATCCTATGATATACCCAAAGCTTGTCAGTTAATTTCCTTCCTGTTTAAATCAACCAGAGCTTTCTTCCCCTGGCTTATAACTAAGAACTCTGACTATTAAAACAGTATTGTTTCATTATGTTGAAAATTAGATACAATAGTAAGGAATTGATTGATGTAAAATTTTACATACATTGGATGATCCTGTTCCTTCTTTTAAAAGCTACAGTATTTCCTAGTTTAAGTAGTTTAATCAGAAAAGGAACGTAAAATAAGAAATTGGATGCTTACAAATTTGTTGGAAAGGTTGCAGACCTCTTTATTGACTCCAGAACAATACCAAACATGTCCACTGGGGGCACTGCTCCCTCTGAGGCCAGAAAAGGAAGGAAGAAGCTAATGCCACACACAACTTTCTGTCACACTCAGGAAACCACAATGGGTACTGGAAGCTGCAGATCAGAGATTAGGAAATCAAATCAAATAGTACAAGTTATCCCACTGGTTCTTGACACACAGAATCTGGAAAAGGGAACCTGAGTCTACTGCAGGGAAGCCTCACCTTTCCAAACCTTGCTTGTTGACAGCAACAGCCAACCTCAGGGAAAGATGGCCTTGGCTCCAAATCTTGTATGATACCATTTGTGTAGGGGGGAAACTCTTGCCTATGCACAGACTACTGGAAGGACATGTGCACTAGTAACCGTGGTGATTTCTAAGGTAGGGAATTGAGGGGCTGAAGGACATAAGTGAGGGGGAGGTACTTTTCACCATACTTCTTGGTATGTGTTGTACTAAGGTCATCACTCCTAGTCAGAAAGTTACCAAGTTAAATTTTATTAGTATTAAAGCTCAGGAGTTTTTACTGTACTCCAAGGGAACACACCTGCAGGTCTTTGAGTAGTATTTCAAGGCTCTTTGAGAGGAAAACAGAGTGGGACTCTTGGGTCAGAGCAACTCTGATTTTATCTGTTCTTTGGTTTAAGCTTCTGAAAAAGATTTCATTAGCTTTTAAGCTTCTGAGCAAGAAAGTAAGAAAGCTGTTTTTTTTAAAAAAATTGAAGACCAGTGTTACGGAAGAATATTAAATGTCATGAAGAAATATTCATTTTACACATATTAACTAAGTGAATATTTCTAAGGTGAGAAGACTGGAAGTACAAGTACCAAGTATCATAGTTTTTTACTGTTTACTTGTGCTCTCTTTCTTACAGTTATTATAATTATCTTTAAAATTATTTTTATAATCACAAATACATGTTATTTTTTTAACTGAAAAGAAAAGCACTCTTGCCAATTTAAATACGTTAGCTAATAAATAGTGCTGAATTGCATTTGTGGTAGATTTGTTACATAGAACCTCCAACTGAAGTGTCATAAATGTGTTACACCTAAGACACATAAGACCCCTGGACAGCCCTCAGGGGTTAAGTCAGGCTGGAGCTGAGCCTTCTCCTGCTCCCTTCAACTTAGAGTCCTTTCATTGTTCATGCCAGTATACCATGTAAAAATTTACGAAGCATGGTGCTTTATTATTCTAGAAATTACAGCTTTCATAGCATGCTTTAATTTGATTTGATTTTTGAATGTTTTAATTGTGACTTATTCATAACAAGAATAATAAGATTAATAACTCTAATGAAGCCTATCATTATGAATTATTTAACCATGTGCCAGGCACCATCCTAAGTACTTTGCATCTATTATTTCATTTAATTCTTATGATGACCATGTGAAGCTTAGGTATTATTATCTCAGTTTTACAGATAAGAAATTGGATGCTAAGATATAAATGAGTAACTTGCTAAAACCTCAAATGACAGAACTTGGTTTCTAACCTAGTATCTTATTCCAGTATCTCTCCTCTTAACCAACATACTCTAATGCTCAAGTTTCAGGAACCTATCAATTATGTTGAAGCAAGTACCACTACATCAGCCAAACAGATGATTACAACAGGAGCTGTCTTTACCATCTTTCTCCCACTAGAGCATCAGCTCCATGAGAACAGAGAGCTTGTCTGTCTTGTCTACCTAGCACAATGCCTGGAAAATCATAGGGAATTACATATTTGTTGAACAAATGAATACTTACATGTTGATTCTTAGACCCATGCTTCTCAACTCTGCCTGTACATCAGAATTGCTCATAGAGCTTTTGAAACATGCAGAATGTCTGGAGCCCTCCCACTCCCACTAGCATCTCCAGGGGAAGAATTCAGGCAAGTCTGTATCTTTAAAGATATACAGGTGATGCTAGTGCTCTGTCAAACTCTAGAGCCCCTATTCCAGAGCAGTGGTCTGGAATTTTGTTTATAAAAAAGTGAAATTCATTAAAACACAAATTGCTGGACTCCACCCCCAAAGTGTCTAATGTTTAGTAGATCTGGGGTGAAGTCTGAGAACTTGTATTTCTGAAAGTTCCCAGGTGATATTGATGCTACTGGTTCATGGTTCACACTCTAAGAATGATTGTTTTAGAGGATTGGTTGTAAGGGACTAAATCAAAACATTTGTACATAGAACTTAAGCAGGGGATTTAGCGAGGCCAGAATCAACATTGATCACTCAGGCAGTGCAGGTTTATTACAGTTTTCAAAGCACTCACAAGAATGCCCATTGAGTTTGTTGCTCCAAAACTTTCTTTGAAAAATGGGATATACTTTTTTAATCCCAAAGGGAAAAAAAACACCACATTTCTCTGATGGGTTTGACCCGAGACTGTTTTACTCTTTAGGTCCTCTCCTGCTGAGTCACTCTGGGCCCGTCTGTACAACCCCTGAGCAGGTGTGGTGCTCACTCCCCAGACCTCTGCAGTTCTTGTCTCACAAGGGAAAACCTGTCGTTTCTCTTCATGTGTGCTCCTTTCCTCCATCATCTGCCCTTGTCACCCAGGAGACCTGGCAACAGGAGCTTTGGCACACTCTTTTTTCTGGATACTATTCAAAAATTCTAGATCCCAAAATTCCTGGGTAACATCTAATCTTAGATTATTAAGACATTGTCAGTAGACTGGTAAGTACATTTCCATTGCCTGCTGCTGCATTAATAAGAGGCAAGAATTAGTTTCTAATGAGCACTAGGCTGTGGATAAAAATTAAAAGCTTTTATATCTAGCTGATGGACCTTGCACCTAGTAATATTTGGCTTGGTTTTTTAAGAGTGATTTCTATCCCATGCCTGCTGCTTTTGTACCATTCATTTTGTGTATTTCACATTGTTTAGAGAAGAACTGCACAAGTTTTATAAATGGTGTTTTTCTCCTTCTGTTAGGTCTCTTTGCAATGCAATCAATGTTTACAACCTCACCTGCAATAACTGTTCAGAAAACTGCACTGATGTTCTGTTTAGTAACAAGATTACCTTCTTAATGGACCTCCTCATACACCAGTTGACGGTATGTAATATTATTGCTTTGAATTAGAAGCAGTTAAGATTTGAAAAATATCCCCTATGGAGAAAACTAAAAGAAGCCATATTATTTATTATCCAGATTGAAAAAAAAGTGAAAATGATTGGGAGAGTAAAATAGGAACTGGCAGAAAAACCTCTTCATTTGAAAATTTTATAACGCATTCTTCTAAGTCCCAATATTTGATGGATAATGTACTTGTAGCACTTGCTGAGATCACAGATTTCCGTGGTTAGACTGGGACTTTGGAATGAGTTAGGCTCAAAGCCGTATCTCTGAGGTCATAGGAATTAGTGCTGTACAAGGGAAGAAAGTCTCATAACCTCTCTTGCCAGCTCAGTTTAAAGAGCTCAGTTTAATTTGGTAAGAAACATAAAGAAAGGGAAGTAATGCCTTAGTGATGAGGCAGGATGAATGATGGGAGAAGATATTAAAGAAATGCGATTTTTTTTAAAAAGGTCAATTTAAAAAAAAAATAAAAAGGTCAATTTAAGATAGACTTTTTGAGAGCCCTTGATGTATTTTTTGAAGCAAGAAACTCCTCTGTCACAAAGGAGCAAACCTGTTATACTTTTGAAATAGGAACAAGCAGCCAATTGTAGCCTTAAATTTTACTTCAGTTCACAGATGTTGAAAGAGGTAAGCTCAGTATAATATCCAAAGGTTTAGGTCTGTCAACTGCAGCCTCCAGAACACAGCCCTGGGGCCAGAAGTTTCCTGGTGAAGTTTCTGAGCCCCTGAGGTATTGGCACAAAATCACTCTCAAGCTGCAAGTTTATAACACAGGAGATTTATTTTTCAGAACCGATTTATTTTACTCAGCATGTAGTTCTAATAGCTTTTCTCTAAACTGTGAGCCTTTTGCTCTCTTTCCTTCTCCATCTGGTTAATTTCTACATCCTGAGCCCTCTACTAAGACATAATGGCACTTTCTTCATGAAACCTTCCCCAACCTAACCCTCTCCCCAAGTCCAGGTTAGGTGTTCTTCTTATATGCTCCTATCCCTGAGGTCATTCATAGGATTAATCACATTGAACTGTAATTAACTGCTTACTTGTCCATTTCCCCAATTAGCCATAAAATCAATGGGGACAGGAGGTGATTCATCACTTTCTCCAAAATCCTAAAACAGGGCCTGACACAGTAGCTTCAGCACATTGTTGATGAACATATAAGTAAACAAATGGATTCCCATATGTTTAAAGCTGAAAATCAGAAAGGAAATGATGAGGCTCTCACATGCTCTTCTCATGACAAAGAGAAGGGACAGCAGTGAAAAAGGACAAAAACACAGACCTAGAATAATACAGTGCAATAAAGGTTGTTTATAAATGACACTTGAGTCATCACTTGAGGGCTAAGTTAATATATGGTTTATCTATAAAATAAGGCATTGAAATACAGGTAATGAATTTTAGCAAAAATTTCTATCAGAAATATTTGAAAGCCAGGGACAAGGAGAAAGACTTAGCATTTGCTGTATGACCTTATGTCCCAGGCATTTTAATATATATTGCCTCATTTCATTTTTAAAACAGAAAGTCAGTGTTAGTATACTGCTTTACAGGCAAAGAAACTTGAGTCTGAGAAAGGTTGACTTGCCCTAGGCTACATGGATAGTCATGGAGTCAAGAGCCCAGGCTAGATCTGTCAAACCCCAATTGAGGGACATTCTACACAAAAATTGACTCATACTTTTCAAAAGTGTCAGTCATGAAAGACAGAAAAGTTGAAGAACTGTCACAGATTGGAGGAATCTAAGGAGATCTGACAACAAAATGTAACGTGGGATCCTAGACCAGAAAAAGGATGTTCGTGAGAAAACTTGAAACTTCAAATAAGGTCTGTAGAATAGTTAATTTTATTGGCTCAATGTTGATTTCTTGCTTTCAGTAATTATACTGTGGTTTTTCACAATGTTAGCAATAGGAATATGGGTGAAGGGAACTCTACTATTTTTGCAACATATCCTGCTTTTAAGTCTTCTTGCTTATTCCTTCACATTTCAAAGCCATTCTCTTTTGTTACTTTACCCTGTTCAAAGTATATAATTTCTATGCTTCCATTACCAATTTTAAATTATTTCAAAATAAGAACTGGAAAAAAACAAACAAACGCCATGCTCCCCAACTATTCCATGCCAGATTATCTGGAAGAATATACTGTGTGAAACCTATTCTATATTGGTAATGGAAGAAGATACATAAATGTACTTTGAACAGAAAAAGTAACAAAGGGAATGGTGTTTGAAATGTGAAGGGATGAGCAAGAAGACTTATAGACAAGATCTTCCATCCTAGGTCTTCATTCTTTTCTGATCAAAACCTGTTTGTATCATATAAGGTAGTTTGTTTATTCTCTCACTTAATAATTATAAGTGCCTACTATTTCCAGTTGCAGAGAAGTGTGGGGTATGATCCTAACCATCCAGGAAATTCCTGCTCTGGAGTAGGAACAGATATGCAGGTTGCACATAAAAATGGTGTGATGTCAGCCTGTATAGAATATGGTGAAGCCCAGAGAAAGGAGGTCGGTAGCCTCTGCCTGGGCCATCACAAAGCTAAACCGTAACTCCTCATAATAGCTTTCATTTATTAAGTGCCTGCCATGTGCCAGGAGCTTGTAAGCAGCTTGATCCTTTCCCTCCACTTTGAAAGCCCCAGTTTCCTTTGAATCATATTCCCTTACTTGTGACCTCAAGATTTCTTAACACTCGGAAAGCTTTTAATCTCCCAACCAATGAATTTCACCACATTCTATGTTTATTTTGTTCAGTTTAGAACTTGAATCCTGGGACATTAGTTTGTCAAACACATTTTATCCCTCCTTCCCTTAAACGTGGCACTTCCTGGTCTTACTGTTCTTTTTGGCCTTTTATTCTCTGTCAATTCTAATGCTGCTGTGATGGAGTTTGTGATCATTGAAAGAGGTATGTCTTCTAAGTTGGAGAGGTAGAGGTGGTGGTGGTTATTTTTACATTTCTGGAAATCACTTGTGCATGTACATTTTTTATTGCTAACTTGTTTTGACGTACATGTAACTGAAATGTGGATCACTAGCTTGTAAGTACCCTTTCAGCAAAGGGTAGGAGGCTGTCATCACACATTTTCCAGAAGGATTATAAAGAAGCATAAAAGAAGTTAATTAATTCAGATCTGGTAGAATTTATATGACAACTGATTATAGGGCAGTTCAGCCTTTCTTCAGCAAACTGAGATGGTTTAGAAGGCTTTTCTCCCCTAATATAGCTGTTTGGAGTTTGTTTTAGCACTCTTATATTGCATCTCAATTAAGTGCAAAGCATTGTACAGATGCCAGGATTACAGAGGTGAATTGGACACAGTTCCTTCATTCTAGAAGCCCACAGTTAAGGAATAAGCAACTTGCATACATTAATATTAAAGAGCCTTTCTGCCCATGAACACCACCGAGAAAGCATCGTTGAAGACTTCCCCGCCTCCACTGCCATCATGTCTAAGTCAGAGTCTCCCAAAGAGCCCGAACAGCTGCGGAAGCTCTTCATCGGAGGATTGAGCTTTGAAACAACTGATGAGAGTCTGAGGAGCCATTTTGAGCAATGGGGAACGCTCACAGACTGTGTGGTAATGAGGGATCCAAACACCAAGCGCTCCAGAGGCTTCGGGTTTGTCACATACGCCACGATGGAGGAGGTGGATGCGGCCATGAATGCAAGGCCACACAAGGTGGACGGAAGAGTTGTGGAACCAAAGAGGGCCGTGTCAAGAGAAGATTCTCAAAGACCTGGTGCCCACTTAACTGTGAAAAAGATTTTTGTTGGTGGCATTAAAGAAGACACTGAAGAACATCACCTGAGAGATTATTTTGAACAGTATGGAAAAATTGAAGTAATTGAAATCATGACTGACCGAGGCAGTGGCAAAAAGAGAGGGTTTGCTTTTGTAACCTTTGATGACCATGACTCTGTAGACAAGATTGTCATTCAGAAATACCACACTGTGAATGGCCACAACTGTGAAGTGAGAAAAGCCCTGTCTAAGCAAGAGATGGCTAGTGCTTCATCCAGCCAGAGAGGTCGAAGTGGTTCTGGAAACTTTGGTGGCGGTCGTGGAGGTGGTTTTGGTGGGAATGACAACTTTGGTCGTGGAGGAAACTTCAGTGGTCGAGGTGGCTTTGGTGGCAGCCGTGGTGGTGGCGGATATGGTGGCAGTGGGGATGGATATAATGGATTTGGTAATGACGGAAGCAATTTTGGAGGTGGCGGAAGCTACAATAATTTTGGCAATTACAACAATCAATCTTCAAATTTTGGACCCATGAAAGGAGGAAACTTCGGAGGCAGAAGTTCTGGCCCCCATGGTGGTGGAGGCCAATACTTTGCCAAACAACGAAACCAAGGTGGCTATGGTGGTTCCAGCAGCAGCAGTAGCTATGGCAGTGGCAGAAGGTTTTAATCACTGCCAGGAAACAAAGCTTAGCAGGAGAGGAGAGCCAGAGAAGTGACAGGGAAGCTACAGGTTACAACAGATTTGTGAACTCAGCCAAGCACAGTGGTGGCAGGGCCTAGCTACTACAAAGAAGACATGTTTTAGACAATACTCATGTGTATGGGCAAAAAACTCGAGGACTGTACTTGTGACTAATTGTATAACAGGTTATTTTAGTTTCTGTTCTGTGGAAAGTGTAAAGCATTCCAACAAAGGGTTTTAATGTAGATTTTTTTTTTTTTGCACCCATGCTGTTGATTGCTAAATGTAATAGTCTGATCATGACGCTGAATAAATGTCTTTTTTTTTTTTTTAAATATTAAAGAAAAGCTGTGAGAAGTTCTGTAACATAATCAGGGCTACAAAGTAGTGCACACAGCCTAGAAAAGTACCAGGCACATAAGGAAATGCCTGCTAAATATTTGATTAATGAATGAATGAGTTCTAATTTGGAGCATTGGAGAGGCTTTTGGGAAGAATTTGGAGTGTGCCTTGAAGGGTAGAAATTCTACAATTCT